TGAAAGGGTGGAAGGATGGAGATGGAGCGCTATGTCTCCCATAGTTCACACCCCGAAGGAAAAAACAGCCACACGGCTCTATGGGCCCGGAGGCCTCAGTGTTATTAGCATATGCATCATTTGCGCCCACACGAATCCCCCAGGGTCCCTGTCGTATTTAAGTCATTTAGCCGGCGGCTCCCCCGTTCGTTTGACTGGACATTCATAGGAGAGTCATCACACACACACACACACACATAACCAGCAGAGGCACACAAACACGCGGCACGCTAAAACCCGCCATCAAGCCTATAATTTATTTAACTCTTGGAGAGACATCCCCAGACTCCCGGATGGGCAGTGGCAGGTGTTGTGTCGTGTGCGGGGTTTTTTAATTGTTTGGATGTTGCGCACACAACACATGGGTGAGGGGCTCTTGCTGTGATGTTTCGTCTCACCCCACAGCCTTCACCACACAGCCTCTGGGGGTCAGTTGTTTTTTCAAACACGCCACATGACGCCACCACACGCCGCCCTGATTCATTTGGAGGCCACAATATCCCAATGTGCCAGAATATCTCGACGACGCCGGGGTTATGGGGGATGCATTTGCAATACGTCCAAAGCATGATATACACGTCGGATGCATGCAATGTGGTATGGGATGTGGGGTACGTTTAGATTCTTTATATGGGACAGAGGGCGCAAAGGGTCGTCCAGCTGTGGAGGGCTGGAGAGAGGTGCCGTGGGGGACTCTTTTTAACATCTTTTACACAAACGCTTTTGTGGCATTTTTGTGAGTAGGAATGCATGTGTTTTGTCTTCTCCCACTTGTGGTGGTGTAAGTTGTTTTGAGCCACACCATCCTGTGGCGCGCAAGCGAGATTTTGTGCGCACGCAGCTGCAGCTGCGTGTGTGCATGTGCATGCATGCGCTCGAACTGCATATTCGTTACCGACCCGTGGGTTTTCCTCTGCCCCGACGACGCCCTGTGGCGTCCTGCTTCCCGTATGCTAGTTTTAGCACGTGTGGAACAATTTAGGGCAGAACGATAGGTGTGATGGGAGCGACAAGCAAAGCTGTCGTGCTCAAATGGAGCGCGCTCAAATGGATGTTCGGCGACATGTTGACAACGCCACACACAAGCAACTCCACAGACTAAAGCGGGTGATGCGCATATAGACGTGTACATGATATTTGAGGACATGACCTGGTGTATGGTCCCTTTCCTCTAAGCGGCCGCACAGCCACGGGCGGCTAATGTCCGGACACACCATCGAACATCAACCGCCTGGCAAACTGTGCTTAATCAAGCAACATAGCGTATCAAAGTGCGGCATCCTCGATATGCATTTGATTACAGCGCATACAATGTCGAAAAAGCCGACAACAACTCAGAGCGGCACCGGCACCGGCTCATACAACGGCTCGTACAACACTCCAACCAGCTAACAAACATTCCAAATCGCGACGCGACAGCATCTCACGCAGCTGTAATATCGTGAACAACGGAAAAGAAAAACAGCTTGTCAATGCTTTGCTTCGCATTCCGCCTCCTGTTTCCATAGCTTCAGTTCGCAACGCAGCCATCAGAAACGCGACCGTGCAACGAAATGTGTCAACGCATGCGCGGTGAACAAATTTGTAGCACAAGGCGTCAAAAAGGTGTGAAGGCAGCGCGCACGTTGGTTGCCCCGTGTGTGTGTGCGCGCGTAGTCCGCCGCAGTGTGTACGCGACCTCCGCACCGCACCCATACATGGCTTCCACGCGATGCCCCAACCGCCCAATTGGCATATCCATGCTAAGAACCTACATACCAAAGCCAGCACCGAGGCACGGCCCATACGTTCATGAATTAAACATAATTATTCGACCTGCTACCGTCCCCTGTGTAAAAGCCCTATGGACAACACACCATATAAGCCCCCCTTTCCCCCTTTTGGCAGATGGACAGCAGCATCAGCAAAGCAGCATTCGTGGGCAGCGACAGGAGCGATAGCATACATATGTGAGGTAAGGTGGGCATGCTGGCAACACAAGAAATAGGATGCCATAGCATATGTCGTGGGGCTACCGTCAGGGGGGATGGGTAAACATTGAAGATGGAGACCGAGGTGAAGCGGGTTGGTTATGAGGGCGGGTTTCAGGGTATCACGTTGGCCCTCCCCTGCGGCCCCCTAGCCTAACGCCGTCCTCCCCTGCGGCCCCGCCTAGCCTAACGCCGTCCTCCCCTGCGGCCCCGCCTAGCCTAACGCCGTCCTCCCCTGCGGCCCCGCCTAGCCTAACGCCGTCCTCCCCTGCGGCCCCGCCTAGCCTAACGCCGTCCTCCCCTGCGGCCCCGCCTAGCCTAACGCCGTCCTCCCCTGCGGCCCCGCCTAGCCTAACGCCGTCCTCCCCTGCGGCCCCGCCTAGCCTAACGCCGTCCTCCCCTGCGGCCCCGCCTAGCCTAACGCCGTCCTCCCCTGCGGCCCCGCCTAGCCTAACGCCGTCCTCCCCTGCGGCCCCGCCTAGCCTAATGCCGTCCTCCCCTGCGGCCCCGCCTAGCCTAACGCCGTCCTCCCCTGCGGCCCCGCCTAGCCTAACGCCGTCCTCCCCTGCGGCCCCGCCTAGCCTAACGCCGTCCTCCCCTGCGGCCCCCTAGCCTAACGCCGTCCTCCCCTGCGGCCCCGCCTAGCCTAACGCTGTCCTCCCCTGCGGCCCCGCCTAGCCTAACGCCGTCCTCCCCTGCGGCCCCGCCTAGCCTAACGCCGTCCTCCCCTGCGGCCCCGCCTAGCCTAACGCCGTCCTCCCCTGCGGCCCCGCCTAGCCTAATGCCGTCCTGCCCTGCGGCCCCGCCTAGCCTAACGCCGTCCTCCCCTGCGGCCCCGCCTAGCGTAACGCCATCCTCCCCTGCGGCCCCGCCTAGCCTAACGCCGTCCTCCCCTGCGGCCCCGCCTAGCCTAACACCGTCCTCCCCTGCGGCCCCCCAGCCCAACGCTGTCCTCCCCTGCGGCCCCGCCTAGCCTAACGCCGTCCTCCCCTGCGGCCCCGCCTAGCCTAACGCCGTCCTCCCCTGCGGCCCCGCCTAGCCTAACGCCGTCCTCCCCTGCGGCCCCGCCTAGCCTAACGCCGTCCTGTCCTGCGGCCCCGCCTAGCCTAACGCCGTCCTCCCCTGCGGCCCCCCAGACCAACGCCGTCCTCT